ACACCTTGATTTCTATTTCTCGTGAAATTATAGCCTAGCTGAATTTTTGGAAATAAGCTTGAAAAGTTTGTTATTACCTGAAACGATTCGGAGAATCGTACTTTACAGGCTGCGACGTATGTGATGTTTTCAGAGAGTCTTATGCCGAGATAACCCAGTATGTAGTAGAACTGTTCTCAATGTACTGTTTCATCTAGTTGAGATATGTCAACATATCATCTCAACAGCTTTTATTCTTTTTTGTTCGCCATACGTTTCATGCCAGAACCTATTTCGCACACCCCATGATACTAAACCTGCCTAATGACGGGGTCCTTTTTCGCGACCCCAAAAGAACTCAAGCACTATTGAAAGGATGAGAGATCCCAGTCAGAAGTCGCAGGTCATGTTTTTATTTGTCTTCAGATCCTGCGAAATGAAGATGACTGTTTAGGAATCAAGTGAGATTGAAATCCTTATCCTCTACTAACGGTTACCTCTCTACAACGGCCACTTCTTAAACGGAGAGTCATACACTGCCTCTTGTTTAAACCTCTCTACAACGGCCACTTTCTTGTGTCCCTAAAGTAACCGTTGTGGAGAGGTTCAACTGTATAAACCTCTCATAATAACATTAACGACACGTGTGTGACGTGTCTTCAGGTTTGTTTCTGTAACATTAGTGAAGTGAAATAGCCTTAAAAGGCCTCTTGAGAGGTCATGACCATTATTAGATTGAGGGTCCTTTCCAGCGGGCAAGAATGATCATTATTCCTGCCGGTATAAGAGAACAATCGGCGTGAAGAATTTTCGTTTAGCTTGCATTTTAAAATTTTAAAGATAAAAACAAGGAAAGCGTATGAGAAGTGACAGCCTTCTACTTCTTAAGCAGGAATAATTCGCAGCATTCCTTTGCTGATGGTATATGGACACCATTTTTTTTTTAAGGAAAAAGAACCTCCGTGCAGAGATGCGCCACGACGTACTTGTTTACTTGAGTTATTTTTATGATAAAAATATTAAAGATCACGATCGAGTGTGGCGAACAAAGGTAGTTTTCTGGAACTTTTTGAACACTATTTATGAGATCTTCGACTTTTCGGAGACTGTTGTTTTTTCCTGAGAAGCATTTTGGCAAAATTTGATCAAAATCGAAATTTTGGTTATGTCATGCGTCATGAAGTCAAAATATTTTTAAGCACAAATACAAAGTCCATTTCCTTTTATTTCTGCTCTTATCCCCGGCCCTACGATTTTTTTTTTTTTTCATTTTCTTCGTCATTTTACTTGCCAGTGATTAGGGATATCCAGATCGTGCTCGGCAACGTTTAAATAACGCACCGGGGTCTAAGCAACTTTTTTTGGTAAGGGAACATGTCAACTTCTAGCAAGATTTCCTGTCGTTAGAATTTTTTCCGCAACTGTCTAGATATTTCAGTTACACTAAAATACAATAAGGTAATGATGTGTTATCGTTCCTTGTGAAAAATATGGTGCAAGCGAACTTGAGGAAAATCTTTGTCCGTCCAGGAGAACTTTTTTTGGGGAAAAGAGACCAAAAGGCTGGCCATTTGGTATCTTGTGGTAATTAACTCCACTTCCCACGACACCACATTATACTTTTCGAGTGACGACGACGAGTCCATTAAAAGTAAGTCTTATTGTCATAAGTCACCACGTGTGTGATATTTCATATTTTTACATCGAGAGGTTTGTTGCTGTCAGATTAGAAAATTAAAATGGCTTCCATAGCCTCTTGTGAAGTTCTCATTGTTGTTTTATTGATCTCAAGCACGTCCATCCTGACTGAGAAGAAACAATCAGTTCGATGCCTTTGAAAATCTCGGTATGCTAAACGAAAGGATGGAGCCCGCTCAGTTAAATGTTTTGTGGGTAGACCTAATTGAGCTGCACATCTCGCAGAATTCCTTCAGTGATAGTATTTTGGCCTCTCTTTTCTGGTGATAGGCCACAAAGTATATGATTATCTCATGATAATAAAACAACAAAGATCACGAATCCTCATATCTTATCCCTGGGGTGTATATACCTGGTTGGTTCCATTCTTTTACAAAACTATTGATTGCAAGGACGTCTTATTTCAAGAAGAAGTTATTTCGCAAAATTTTTTGACAGTCATTTTCTATATAGTTACCATATATGACGCAATAGGTAGCACAAGGTCAAGCCATTTTCAAGCCAATTGTTTCATTTAAACACGGTCTTGTAGAAAGAAATCAGTAAATGGCTAGAAAAATTAGCTGTAAAATACCTAGCTATACTGAGCTGGATTGGTAACGTTATCCATCTAATAATTAAGGAGATTGATACGAATAGTTTTTGTAGTATAGTCACTATATATGTACAAACTGATCGCAATAGTATTGGAAAGGAAAACACTTAAAGATGATTTGATCGATGTTTAACTCATGGCTGAAAACTCCCCTTGCGCAAAACTTGCATTCTTACAGAATTTTCAAGAATGGCATACATATTAATTTGCGAATCATATTTCCATTAG